ATTATGTTTTATTTCAATAGGTTTTTGGAGATCAGGTGGCCTTTGGTTATATGGGTAAGCTCTTTGGTGGTGACTTCTGAGCTTTTAGTGCACCTGTCGCCCCAGCAGTGTACACTGCACCCAATGTATAGTCTTTTGTCCCTCACCCCACCTTGCCCTTCCCCATGAGTCCCAAAAGTCCACTGTATCATTCTTACACCTTTGCATCCTCACAGCTTAGCTCCCACTTATGAATGAGAACATACGATGTTTGGTGTTTTCCATTCCTGAGTTACTTCACTTAGAACAATGATCTCCAACTCTATGTAGGTTGCTGCAAATGCCATTATTTCATTCCTTTTTATGGCTCAGTAGTATTCCATGTATATATATATATATGTGTGTGTGTGTGTATATACACACACACACACATGGAACATACACATATATATATATATATACATGTTTATATATATACATGGAATACTACTGAGCCATAAAAAGGAATGAAATACTACTATTTATATATATATATATATATATATATACACACACACACACACACACACATATATATACATGGAATGTACACATATATATGCATGTGTATATATATGTGTACATATATACATGGAATATACACATATACATATGCATGTGTATATATACATGTGTGTATACATAAACATGGAATACTATATTATATATATACACACACATACACACACACACACACACACACACACACATACATAGATTTACCATTTGATCTACCAATCCCTCTACTAGGCAGCTACCTAGAGGAAAAGAAGTCATAATACAAAAAAGATACTTGCACATGTATGTTTATAGCAGCACAATTTGCAAATTGCAAAAGTATGGAACCAGTCCAAATGCCCACCAATGAATGGATATAGAAAATGTAACACACACACACACACACACACACACACACGTACATACAGTTATGCATGTGTATGTATATGTATGTATATGTGTGTGTATATATGTATGTATATACATGTAAGTCAACATATGACTTCTTTTCCTCTGGGTAGATATCCAATAATGGGTTTGCTGGATGAAATAGTGAATCTACCTTTAGTTTTTTAAGGAATCCTCACACTATTTCCATAGAGGTTGTCCTACTTTACATTCCCACCAGCAGTGTAAAACTATTCCCTTTTCACTACATCCAGGCCATCTATTATTTTTTGAGTTTTTGATTATGGCCATTCTTGCAGGAATAAAGTGGTATCACATTGTGGCTTTGATTTGCATTTCCCTAATGATTAGTGATGTTGGGCATTTTTTTTCATATGTTTGTTGGCCATTTGTGTATCTTCTTTTGAGAATTGTCTATTCATGTCCTTAGCCTACTTTTTGACGGGATTTTTTTTCTTGCTAATGTGAGTTCCTTGTAGATTCTCGATATTAGTCCTTCGTCAGATGCATAGATTGTGAACATTTCCTCCCACTTTGTGGGTTGTCTGTTTACTCTGCTATTACTTTTGCTGTGCAGAAACTTTTTAGTTTAGTTAATTCCCATCTATTTCTCTTGTTTTTCTTGCATTTGCTTTTGGGTTTCCAGTTATGAAGTCTTTGCCTAAGCCAATGTCTAAAAGAGTTTTTCTAATGTTATCTTCTAGAATTTTTATGGTTTCAGGTCTTGGATTTAAGTCTTGATTTTTATAAAAGGTTAGAGATGACGATCTTGTTTCATTCTTGTCTGTGGCTTGCCAATTATTCCAGCACCATTTGTTGAATGGGTGTCCTTTTCCCACTTTATGCTTTTGTTTGCTTTGTAGAAGATCCGTTACTGTAAGTATTTGGCTTCATTTCTGGGTTCTCTATTCTGTTCCACTGGTCTGTGTACCTATTTTTATACCAGTACCATGCTGTTTTGGTGACCATAGCCTTGTAGTATAGTTTAAAGTCGGGTAATGTGATGCCTCCAGATTTGTTATTTTTGCTTAATCTTGCTTTGGCTATGCAAACTCTTTTAGGACAAGGACTATATCTTCTCCACCCCTGAATACTTGGCATCTAGCCTGGAATAGGCTCACAAAAACTATTTGTCAAATGAATAAATAAAAGTGGTGGAACCAGGACTCAGCTAAAACTTCTCACCCTAAATCCAGTGCTTTTCTCATTACATCACAGCTAATGAATGATATAATGAGCTGTCGCATCATGGTAGAAGGACCAAATACTCCATGCCATCAGAAGGTAGATTTCTTATTCTTAATCTGGCTCTGTGAAAAAAGAATTAGTGAAATAGTGACAAAATGGGAAAAAGTCAACATGGAGATTAAGAGACTGTACTAGTAAGACTACAGTGACTCCTTCTCAAAATGCTTAACTACTATATTAAGTGCAAAATAGTTAAAAAGTGTTAGTCCTAAAGTTAGCAAGAAGATAGTGTCTTTTTATTAGATTACAAATATATATGAGATTATTCCAAGAGATACCTATTTTATGTAAACACATTCATACACATCCATCAGTAAGCATCCTTAATTCTTAATTTATCTGCATTCAATTGAAAAAATTTGTATTTTCCTGTGCTCTTTCTCTCCTTCACTATCTATGATGGGGCCTGGGAAATGAAAGGGTCGAATGCAAATCTGTCAGTGTGTTTGCTTCTGTTTTTCTTTCTAAAGTCTCCACTGAGAAACTAAGTTGAAACCTGGTGACAATGTACTTACATAAATGTCTCTTAAATTATCTTTGTTTTCTCAGATTCTATTAGGAAGAATTATTGTGTAGCAATTTTAAGTAGGTACAATTCAAACCATTCAGATCTTGTTTTCTTTTTCTTTTTTTTTTTTTGGAGGTGGAGTCTCACTACAGGCAATGTATATCTCCTGTATGCTCATTTCACAGTAAGATTCGCGCTCCTATGAGAATCTAATGCTGTGGCTGATATGACAGGAGTCGGAGCTCTGGCAGTCATACTTGCTCACGTGACCACCACTTACCTCCTGCTATGCAGCCTGGTTCATAACAGGATATGCACAGGTACCCAGGGACCTCTGTAGTAAAAGACTCTAACCAAGAGCTTCTTCTCTCCCAAAAAGTAATAATATATGCCAAGAAAGCTGCAGCAATATATTTATTGCAAAAGAATTAGACATTACATTAACCTGATGAAGATGTAACAATGCATGAAGCATAACTGGAGCAACATTATTTTAAAAATCACAAATGAAAAAGAAAATTCATTTTCAAAAGAAAATATCGTATCCAAGTCATCTTAATCTCTGAACACCATAATGCAACTCTTTATGTTGATTCTAAAAACATCCAGGATGAAGTTTACTTTAAACTGAGTAACAGAAAGGAAAGGTTTCTTTCCCAACTTTCCCAATAGATTCCTTGGCTAACATCTGTGTATCACGCCCATGAAGTAATTTTCATCAACAGACAGCAAAAAGAAAAAACCCCTCCTACAAATAGAGAAACAGGAAATCCAAGCAACAAATCAACTAGTAGCCTCCAACTGAATGGGGTAGACAGAATCAGCATTTTCTAGAACTTAGAAGTTACATTAACTTTACTAGTAAGATGTTATTGTCTTTTTAAGAAACTGCATGGATTCAAGGGCACACTGAGCTGTAACACATCATTATATTCACACTGGGTAACAGTGTAGAGGGGTTTCAGATGTTCATCATCTGTTCATCAAAGCTTTCTGAAACCTCTGGAGCTTTACTCTTCTACTGTATAATAAATTTTCACTGTGTATAACAAACTCCCTTTGAAGAAAATTATCCCCAGATAATCCATCTGTGAAAATACAAGTACTGCAAAAAGCAGTGACGATAAATACTTTTTGAAAAGGCAAAAATGCTGCATCAACTTTCAGAGGCACTATCATAGAATCATCTCTGAAATCATCCCTGAAAAGGAGAACCGCATATGTACTTTGAAAATTACTTTCCTTGCCTATACCCAGCATGCATGAATGTCCTCTAATAAGCTATTTGTAGGCTGAGTAAGGGAAGAGTCAAAATGCAGAATTGCAGGTTTTCGTTGAGCTGGGACCACTTTCCTTTTCCCTTCCAACGGATTTCAAAACAGCTTGTTCCTAAGCATTTCACAGTTCGCAAAAATTTTCACATGAAAGGGGAAGATGATTAGAGCTTATTAGATTCTGTCAGTTGGCCAAAAAAAAAAAAAAAAGTATTTCAACACAGCTTGTCATCTTTGGAAAAACCCAATCATAATTACATTTCCTTATACTGAACTTAAGGTAGAGAGACCTAAACTAAGAGCACTCACAATTTGGTGGGAAAATGGCAAATCCTTGTTATTTGATGACTGTGGTACCAAGTACAGAGGAATTCATTCACATCTGAATGAGTTATTTAAATAAAAAGGCAGAAAGCTAATCTAGACATTTTAAGTCCTAAATTAAATTTTTCAGGTGTGATATTTTTAGTTTGAGTAATAATGCTGGTCTGGTTTGCTACAAAATTAGCAACATTCTCCTTTACCTTGAGCTGGGTAGACTCAGCTACAATGTCCTACTTTCTTTATGTATGTTTAAAGTAATGCCTAACCAGACTGACAATGCATGTAAATGCAGCATGCTCGTTGGCACAAAGCAGGCAGGGAGAAATGCCCCTACCTTCCCGAAAAACACAAAGGAGCATGACTACTAATCAGTCATTTTCCTCATATAGACAATGTCAGTAGATATTAAGACAGATACACATAAAGTGACATAAATGTTTCCACCTTTCCACCACTGAGTGAAACATGCTGTTCTTTGGAGAAAAAAATACATTCATTTTTTTCAAGTATATTTCAATATACAAAGATGCTCTGGCTTTGTTTCACTATAAAGACAAAAAGATTTCATATGTGTCCAAGGGAAATTTCAGTTTACCTTCCCTTTGGCGTGGATTTCATGAAGTTCTGACTAAAAAAATTACTCTGAATATACATCTACTCATTTTATCTGAAAGCATGAACTATGTTCATTATATATATATATATATATATATATATATATATATATATATATATATATGTACATAGTAACAACAACAAAAACCAGTCCACGTATGTCCAATGGCTTAGGACTGGCATGCTCTGAGGAGCACGAGGCCCACCTGCTGCCACTAGAAGCTCAGCACCAGTGTTAGGTGGTTCCATCACCTTCAGGGTCCAGCCTCTGGCCAGCAGCATGCAGGCTCTTCCTTTCTGTAGTATTCTAAGGAGCACTTTCTGCTGAGGCTGTGCCTCTGCCATTATGGCTTATTTCCCATCTTGGCTTTGTTGTTAGGGTTGCAGTTTAGGTCTCTCAGCAACAGTTCACAATTGGCGAGAGCATCTGCGGGCAGCAGCTTCCGGAGTTGCTCCACTGTCTTTTGATAAGCCATTTTTTCTTGTTCCAGGGTCCGGATTAAAGACTTCATTTTGGTCTCTCTTGTCAAAAGATTTTCCAGGTTTGATTCCAAGGTTTGGATTTTAGCATGAGCTACCTGTTTGCAGAAAAAAAAAATCCTCCAAATCAAAAATTTTAAGTCTAGTTCATTATAATAGTACCCAGTCCTTACACATATTAATTTCACATTACCTAATAAAATATTATGTGAAGCGAATACTCTGAAAACCCACATGGAACGATGATTTATTAGGTTTCACAAAGATGTAACTATGGAACTATCATGATTCATCTCCTCTCACTGAATACACTAGTAATTCAATACTAAATCAACCCCCTCACCCACAGTAGGAGTCCTTATTCTACACCCACTGGTGTTCCCCTGGGTGAGTGGGCTTTGGCCTGGCTGAAGGAGAAACAGGAGATTGCTGACACTATCCTGCAGTGCTAAAAGAGGTTTTCCTTCTCTGCCTGGAATACGGCATTTTCCAAACACACACTTGGGCTTTCATCAGTTTTTGTAGATGTAAGGGGTGGCCGAGTAATTGATGATGAAAGTAATTGATGATGACTGCCCTGAACTGCCAATCAAAAAGTCTACAACAGTTCAGAAGAATCATTATAAAACAGGTGCAATCCCACCTTCCCTCATCAGGGCAAATAATCACCATTGAAATCTCCAACTAAAAATGGACAATCTACCAACCATTTATTTTTGTTTTTGAAAATAGACGATGTTGCCCTTTTGTGAATAGGAAAAAAAGATCAAAATTTTCTATGACCCAGAGCCAATGTAAGACAAAGTGAAGGAAGTTTAGTGTTCCAATTCTTAGGGAGCAACTACTTTAGAGAACCCTCATTTCTAACCTGTCTCTGCTGAGTGGCCTTGACAGGTGACTCACCATACAGAAGCAGAGTTTTAGTGTGTTCTAGTTGGTAGCCAGGTGCAGTGTTGGGGAAATGGAGAGGAGGGGTTAAGTGGAAACCAAGAAGCCATCGGGCACTTAAACTCCGGAGTCATCTCCCCTGATGACTTCAGGAGGATCACCTGCTAGCCTCCCACCCATGATCACTCTTAAGCCCCGCCCCTGAGGGCATCAGGGCATGGCCACACAGCACACACCATACAGGTGGCAAATACAGAATATTACTTTGTCAGAAATTGCTTATTGCATGTATAAGTGTGTGCTTAGAGATAGACATGTAATATTTTATATTCTCAAATAATTGTCAACTCCCTGATGGCAGGAATGATGTATTAATATTACACAGGAATGATGTATTAATATTACATGTGATATTAATGATCATTCAATTTACCTAGACACGTCTCCCTCTCTTTCAATTTCCATTTTAGTCTAGACAACTGTCATCATCCCCAATAGATGTTCACAAATGACTTCTAGCAGGCCTCCTTACCTTCTCTCCCTGTCCTTGTCAAGGTTCCTAGATTGATCTTTCTGCAGCATGGCTCAAAAACTTTGAGAGATTTCCCTCTTGACAGGATTAAAGCCATGTTCTTTGGCTTGACACCGAAAGTCACTTACAATTCTGCCTCCATCATGTTTACCCTACCTTTCCCCAACATCTATCTTTTTTTTTTTTTTGAGACGGAGTTTCGCTCTTGTTACCCAGGCTGGAGTGCAATGGCGCGATCTCGGCTCACCGCAACCTCCGCCTCCCGGGTTCAGGCAATTCTCCTGCCCCAGCCTCCTGAGTCGCTGGGATTACAGGCACGCGCCACCATGCCCAGCTAATTTTTTGTATTTTTAGTAGAGCCGGGGTTTCACCATGTTGACCAGGATGGTCTCGATCTCTTGACCTCGTGATCCACCCGCCTCGGCCTCCCACAGTGCTGGGATTACAGGTGTGAGCCACGGCGCCCGGCCCCCAACATCTATCTTAAACTGACGCCAGGAACTCTGCTGCTCTGCCATGTCCTCCTTATTCATGCACCCTCCTAACCAGCCTGACTGAAGACCATCCTCACCCATTTCTTCCACCAAACCTCCAGATTCCAGCTCAAAAAGTTTCCTACATTCAATTCTTCTTCCTTTGAACTTAACTGAATGTGTATAACATGCAGTAAGTATTTAAAAAGATTCCACTTTGAACTGCCATTTAGCTATTTTGTGAGGGTGCATTTTTTCCCAAGTAATGTTTAACTTAACATGTCAACTGCAACCCCAAAGCACTTGGACAGTCTGCTACATGGGCTCTTGGTCAGCAATGGTTCATTCCATACACATCCTAACATTCCTGAGGTAGTTCTGTGTATGCAGGAGGTATTAAAGAACTTCTTTGCTCAAATCTTCATTTCGTTACCTGTAATTTCTCTAGGAGGTCCATGTTTTGTCTTTTCAGTTGGCTATTGGCCCTCTCCAGCTTCTCCAAAGGTTCACTATCCTCACAGGCATATGAAGATTCCTGAAGCTCATCCTGTAGCACATGATACTCCACCTCATAGGCATGCAACTGCTTAGAAATATCCATCTCAAAAACCTGCCATGAAAGCATCATGGGTTATGCTAGCCTTTGGTATGTAGTAACAAGATACAGCTTGTGTCTGATCTTGATATATTTCATGTATATTTCCAAATACTTATTAATGAAGAACATTAAAGCATAAAAAAGGAAAAAAAAACAGGTGTGACTGTCAATACAAGAATAAATTAGATATAGCTTACACTGTTAACATAAAAACAGATAGCTCTTTCTGTGAAAGAATAAATTTTTTCTTTAAAAACAGAACAGATTATTTCTATACAATTGAAACATTCTCATGAAGCCAAGTCACTAGAATAAATTAACATCCAAGAGTATTTTGCAGCCAACATATTCATAATCTAGTAACTGTCTCCCAAAATGTAGTATAGTAGGTAAACAACATTAGTTATTGAGTAATTATTATGTCAGAGATAATCTCTGCTGATCAGTAAGCAAAATTGCATAGGGTATTACTGTAATAGAGAAACCAAAAGCATTTCTAATTTATCTGCCAACGGAGCAGAAAGATCTTAATAAAACTTTTCATCCATTTGCTATTCCCGATAAGCCTCTTAAGCATCATTTACATATTGTACCACACAGAGAATCCTCAAAATTGCACATCATGAGCACTGTCCAGGGTGGTAAGGTTTAATTAGGGCTGTTACTGCTCTCCCATATCACTGCTAAATAGGAAGATAGTTTGCTTTGAAGCTAGAGGACAGTTACTACAAACTTCCTAGGGAAAGGAGAGACAGCAGCCTGATGACTACATTGAACAAGCAATGGTGTCTACACCAACACTGAAAAGAGAAAAGAAACCGCAAAAACCTGACTTTGCTAATTACTACTAGAGATACTAAAACATTTGAATTTTAGTAAGAGAATTTCCAGACTAACTGGTCATCCTCAAATAACCATCATCTTTTCCTTACCTAGTGGGAAGGGATACAATGGATTATTACACAACCATTAAAAATGATAATATGGATTTATATGTATTGGAAAAAATCTAATACCCTGTATTTTTTAAAATTATAAATGAGGTTCCACAATAGCATATAGAGTATGATTTCATTTATGTATAACTGTATACATTTTTATATGTATATATAAGCAAAGAAACCTGTAATAGAAAGTTTCAAAGGTTATCTCTAGATGTCGAGATTTGTAGTTACTTTTATTTTCTTCTTTGTGTTTTCTGCATTATTTGTATTTTTTCCAGTATCCGTAAAGTTCAAAGTCTCCCTTAATATCAGCATTTCATTCCACAGTAATCAACTCTAATTGTTAGAAAATTATCTCTAATATCAAGTTCAAATTGACCTGCCTATAAATTCTACTCATTAATCCTAACAGCAATTTGTAAAGCCAGGTGATTTCCTCATTAATTTCAGCAGGGAGGTGATATCTGACTTCAAATATCTAAAAGCATAATATCTGATTCCTTTCCAATCAAGAAAGCTATTTCTGAAAAATTAATAAACAAGTAAATATATAAGTAAAAGCTATACTTTTCAGCTTATAGAGCATTTTTAACAAACACAAACTATTAATAGATATTTATGATTTAGACTCCATGTAATAGAAAATTTTATATGAATTAATATAATAAGAGTTCATATTATAGTAAGAATTACAGGATATAAAATACTTGAATATATTGGTTATATTTGCTCCTAAAATAATATAAAACTATAACAGAATCTATTTTTGTTCTTCCCATTTTGTAGAGGAAGAGGCTGAGACCTAGAGAAGCTGTAACTTGCTCAAACCTTTCAGATCAGTATTGTCCCATTCTGGAACTCATCCAGTACTATCCTGTTCTGGACAACTAGAATTTAGACAATTAGGCTGATGTGTGCAAGCCAAACAACCAATTTAAGAGCTAGAAGTAGATGCAAACCCAGCATCTTCTAATACAAGCCCGTATTCTTACCCAACAGCTAGTAAGTGCAGGGCACCAGAACAAGGCTCCAAACTCCCTTTCTCTAAACCCTATCGTCTTTCTGCCATCAAAAGTGCCTTCACGAAAGTGGGTAAACTTTATCAATGCTCATAAAGCATAACTGTCAAGCTATCAGTCTGCTCTTAAGCTTGTCCCCTGCATCTGAACAGCAGCAATATACAACTACCACTCACCTGGTCCTTATGAAGAGTCCCTAACTCTTCACAAGGACCAGGTGAGTGGCAGCTGTATACTGGTGTGCAAATTACTCTCAATTTGCTTCTCAGATCCATTCTCTGCCCTCATCCATTCTATTGTACCCTAGGAGACAGACAATTCCCCACACTTTCTTTCTGGCTGGCTTCTGGTTCAGTTTGGTGAATAGAAGATGCCAGCACAAGATCAGAAGGGGCAGGAGAAAAGGGTTGGATATTTCTTTTCTGGTCCTTCCCTGTCTAGTTCAACAAGACCACAACAACCAGCACAGAACACTTGTCCAGAGTTCCGGCTCTCCCTGGGCCTAGTAACACTATTATGTCCTCCACTTAGCCCCTCTGCACCAGGGGTTTGAACAGTTTCCCTATGCTACTAGTTCCTGGGCACCTGGACGTCTGTGTTGGATTCCCTTAAGCCTACCCACACCTTTATAAATGGTTCCTTCATTTGAACCATCAGAGGGAGAATGTTTCCTGTAGGGACAAAGACTGATACATCAAGTCTCCTCACTTAAGCTTCATAAAACCTCCCAGATCAGTGTCGTCCCATTCTGGAACTTGTCCAGTACTGTCCCATTCAGACAAGTAGGGTTTAGATGACTAGCCTGATGTGTGCAAGCCAAACAACCAATTAAAGAGCTAGAAGTAGATCCAAACCCAATACCTTCTAATTCCAAAGCCTGTACTCTTGCTACATGTCCTCTTTGTGTATGTTAATTACAACATAATTATCAATATAACAAAGGCAAGTGGATTTCATTTTATTTTCAGGCCTTCCTCACTCTGTCAGTTCTATCTTCAGTTTTAGCATTGGTTTATATTGAAAGGATTCCTGAAAAACTCATTACATCACACTAAACCATATTTCCTGTGCATAGCCAGATAGACAATGTCACAATGTAGAAACTTTACAATAGACTCCTTTCTCCATAAAATGTATCTGATCAAAGTTTTTAAAAAAGCTTTAAAAAACTGTACCTGTCAAGCAAAGCTACATTTTTATGCTAAAGCATTTAATATACATTCAGTAAAAAAAAATGCTATAATAATATTAGCATTTAAATCATACCTGGGTAATAATTTTTTCCATTTCAGAGGTATTCATATCAGGTAGCGTGCTTTTAAGAAACTCAACAATATTTTCAAAGCTTTCACATTCCATTATAAGTGTCTCTTGGCTGCTCAGCAGGCTGAGTGCAACCTTAAATATAACTTCAGTTCCCTGAAGAAAAATAATATCTAAAAGAAGAGATATAATTTTCATGATCAAAATTATGCATCCACTCTTGTGAAAAGCATGCTATTTGTGCTAAAGGTTTTGTTTACTTGTTTTATGTAGTTTGCAAAAGAAAACTAGTCAAAAGCATCTAGCTTTTTTAAAAATAAAAAGGTAATATAACTAAACATATAAGCAGATGTTTTAATATTCCTCTTAAGAATCTCAGATAAAGCCAGAGTAAAAAAAGACAAAGTATATACCTATGTCCATGTACTATCTGTAATTTTTAATGCCAAATTTAATGGCGACAAAGTAAACCTCGAGGACAGTTATCAGTTATTCAACTGATATTTAGATTTTTCTTCACAACAGGAATACAAAACAAATTTACATAACAAATTAGTACTATTCCATCTCTCATTACCATAATAAAAAGTAAATGAACCAGCTATGTAATTAAATCTATACCATACCAGGAAATTTAAAAAAAAAAGATGGCCGGGCGCGGTGGCTCAAGCCTGTAATCCCAGCACTTTGGGAGGCCGAGGCGGGTGGATCACGAGGTCAAGAGATCGAGACCATCCTGGTCAATATGGTGAAACCCCGTCTCTACTAAAAATACAAAAAAAATTGGCTGGGCATGGTGGCGCGTGCCTGTAATCCCAGCTACCCAGGAGGCTGAGGCAGGAGAATTGCCTGAACCCAGGAGACGGAGGTTGCGGTGAGCTGAGATCGCGCCATTGCACTCCAGCCTGGGTAACAAGAGCGAAAACTCCGTCTCAAAAAAAAAAAAAAAAGATGCCTTAAAAGAAAAATTAAAACAAATAACAACAAACATATAACCTCAATCAGAAGAGAAAAATAGGAGCTACCCTAACTCTAAGCCCTGCTTTCTTACAAATACAAACATGCAATACTTTTCAAAAGTATCAAGTACTAGGCTGGGCGTGGTGGCTCATGCCTATAATCCCAATACTTTGGGAGGCTGAGGCAGGTGGATCGCTTAAGGCCAGGTGTTCGAGATCAGCCTGGTCAACATGATGAAACCCCGTCTCTACAAAAAAGTCAAAAATTAGCCGGGTGTGGTGGCACGTGCCTGTAGTCTTAGCTACAGGTTAAGGCAGGAGAATCGCTTGAACCCAGGAGAATCGCATGAACCCAGGAGGCAGGGGTTGCAGTAAACTGATATCATGCTGCTGTACTCCAGTCCGGGCAACAAAGCAAGACTGGGAAGGAGAAAGGAAGGAAAGAAAGGAAAGAAAAGGAAAGAAAGAAAGGAAGGAAGGAAGGAAGGAAAGAAGGAAGGAAGGAAGGAAGGAAGGAAGGAAGGAAGGAAGGAAGGAAGGAAGGAAGGAAGGAAGGAAGGAAGGAAGGAAAGAAAGAAAGAAAAGAAAGAAAGAAAAGTATCAAGTACTTTTGTTTGAAAGTTTCTCTCAATCTATGTCATTCTTTAATCAATAATATACAACAGGGAGTCCTTAATGAAGAGGGAACCATAAATCTTTATTTCAAACATAGTAATACTTCTTGTCCATGCATCTTTCCATTTTCTGCCAGTCTCTATTCTTTTATAAATTCAAACAAGAGAGGTGAACAGCTATTGTACAGCCAACAGCATCATTTGTAGTCTCATAACAAAAAACTGATACTGAGGACATTTGTCTCTTGAACTCTTGATATCAAGCTTCCAAGGGTAAGTCAAAGAGAGATGCCCTGAAACATTTTGATTTGATAGACTATTCTCTAGAAGAAAAACACATAAACAAAAGGATTTATAGAAGACCCATTAACAGGAACCCAAGCTCCAGAGAAAATGTCAGTGTAGAAAAGCAATAGCGTATCTTCAATAAACAAACAAACAAACAAACAATGTGGTGAACATTTGATTCAGTGCATTTTAACTTTACTTTTCCGCTACACTTTATAAATTGTAGTACCGCTAATGCAGTGTTCAACTTTCAACCACAGCCCTCAGTAAGAAAGATACTGTATGCTGTAATATGGTACATACACATATTACACATATATCCTCAAAACAAGTTCCTCCCAACAACATATTTCCTTACTATTTGTAATATTCCCTAATATCTTCACCGTATGCTCTTCTGTTTCACTTTTTCAAACACTGGCAGTGACCTTCAATTGAGCCAATACTCACAATTTGACAAAAAGCTCCAATGGAGCAGAAGTGCAGTTGTGAGTGGATACTGACTGCTTTGACCATGGCTACTAAATAGATGAACAGAACACAAAAATTAAAGGAGCCCTTTCTAAGGCTATTGAGGTCCTAAATGACATCATTAGAACCAACCTCTGATGAATAGTTGGTTGTTGTTCTTGTTTTACTTTTTGCTTTTTAAATAATAGACACATACAAAGACTTATGAATAGATTTAAGGGCCTCCAAAGGGAACATAAACCATGTTGCACTCTCTTTTTATTCCCAATGCCAAACACTGTGATTAGAACAGCCAGTTGCTAACTTGCCCTGGGCTCTACTGACTCTACTTAGTGTTTTCCCTGAGCCACCAGTCTTAGAGACTGTTCCCAAGCACTGCATCAGTGTGAAAGAAGAGTTACATAAGCAATGAAACAGGAAGTAAAGTTAACCCGTTAACAACAAAAAAATCAGACTGAGAAATGCCATTAGAAACAATGCTGATACAGGTGCTTCCACTGACCCAGTTCAAGAACATATTTCTTTGTGTTTTGAATGCAAGATGAAGACAATAATGGGGGTAGAAAGATGTATATAAAAATCTGGAAAATTATACAGTCTGTCCCTAGCCCAGATTTTAGAAGTATACCCTCTGAATTTTAGGCATAAATGAAAATAAGAGCTCCATTACAACTTGCTCAAATACAGGAGCCTATTTCCTCTTTCCCTTTTAATTTCAATTTTATGTAAGACAAGTATGGTTTTAAATTACTATCAGAATAGAGCCAGGCACGTTTATTAAATTCCACCAGCAATTTGCTATTCTGTGTAACGCAATGAGAAAACAATAGGGGTACTATACGGCTAGAAGTAAAAATATAGTTCTTAGAATAGATAACACTGTTCATTTAATTACAGATATCTCTTACCAAAAACTCTGGCTACAAATCCTAATGAAAACTGAGAGGCAAACAATGTGAGGAACCAGGGGGCAGCATAAAGACTGGGGCTGATTTCATTTTCTTCAAGGTGATTGTAGAGATCTCTGTGATAGTCATGAAGGAGCCGGGACAGCTGGTACATTTGAATCTAAAGTTAATTTGGAGAAGAAAAAATAAAATATTATGCATTTATTTGCATGTGCATCAAATACATGGATTTTATTATTCTACTATTTAATAACAAATTCACATATATAAATATAAGTAGTATTACTTTATTTTTATGATTTTAAAGTTGATATTAAAATCCAAGTTCACTTAACTGAAGTCATAAAGTAAGTCACTGAACGTCCATCTGAGAAGACTGAGCAAGTTTCTTTATCGTGTGTGTTTGAGTATCACATATATAGAGATAAATTGATTTTTCTTCTGTGGCATTGCTTTTGGAATTTAATGAGAACTGTCCTGGCTCAGGAACCTCATATAAGATCCCTTCTAATTTCAGACTAATTCCGGAAGAGCCTCCATTCTAAAGAATCTACTATGTTCAGTGCAGAAGCTTATTTCTATTTGCTGGGACCAGCATGTGATTTATGAAAGAGTTCTGGCTCTCCAGACAATCTGCACTATAAGGACAGAATTAAAGCTTAAAATGTTACAGGGCCAGAAGCTTGAGATTTTATTTCTAATATTCAAGTGATTCCAGCAGCATATTTCTCATGACAAATAGGATTAAAGCAAAAAGTGCAGTTGTTTCTGAATGTTTCTAGAACTAAAAGAAAAAATTATTTCATTTGGCAATTGAGTTGATTACTGCATTTAAAAAAAAATTATAAAGACAGCATCCAGGAACTTTCAAACTCTTACATCTATAATACTAAAGAAAAAGGAGTAGTAACAAACAAATTCCTGAATTGTGTTTTAATTAAATTTTTATCCACACAGTTAACAGATAAGTGGTGGTTCCCTGATCAGTTACATAAGCTTGGTGTTTTGGTGTGAAAATGTATAAAGTGTTTTATTACATTTTTATTAAATCTAGCAGAACTTCTTTCACTAGAAGAAATCATTAAAACATCACTCTTAAGTAGCTCTATGACAATATATAAAAATAAACAATTATGTTGTGAATTCAACAATTATTTCTAGAACATAGAACTAAAAATCAACAGAATCCTTTAGAAAAAAATCAAGAACTATACATAAATACAAAAAATTGTTTGTTCAACCCTTATCCACAATAATATCTTTGGAAACTCAGTTTCCACACAAACTGTAAATAAAAGGGAATTAAAGAGCCACAGGAAGTCATAGCTATGAAATAAGAAGCTTAGCTGGAGGCATACAGAAAGGTTGTTTTTTTTTTTTTTTTTTTTTTTTTTTTTTTTTATTAAATGAGATTATCTCAACAAGTCATGTTGAAAAAAAAAATCATGCATTTCCTTTAGACCATTTACATTGTAGAAACCAGAAATTCTGAGCATCTGTCAGAAGAATAATCAGTATTTTGGTAAGCACAAAAATCAAAAGTGTCTAATTGGCAGCATAAAAAGAAAGCACATCATCAAAAACACACTGTTCCTGTTCACTTGCGATTATACAAAGAAGCAATACTTCAACATTTAATTTTTTTAAAGAGAATCCTATTCCCTCTCCCCCTGCCCTACATTCTCAACTGGGGGTTAAGAGGGTTTCTTCCATCAAGAGATATTTGGGCAAATAAGAACACAATTCAGGTTTCCTTGAAAGAAAGCTTTAATGATAAAATTCTATTTGCTAAGAACAAATAATTCTTCAATTCTACCTTATAGATACCGAGGCAAACCTTCAGATTAAAGAGCCGTAACTGGAGGAGGAAAGAAGCAGAGAGAGAGACAAGGGTAGCAGAGAGGAGATGAAGAAAAGGGATTCAGAGGAAGAGACATAACGCCTTTAACATGGAAAGCAGCAGACACAAATGTGATGAGATATAGATATTTAAAGTTGAAAAAGACCTCAACCCCCACATTTTACAGATAAGGTAACTGAAGCAGAGAGCCTGGAGTACCTGAGCCACCAACAGAGAAGCAAGAAATCAGAAATCTTACAGAGTGAGTCCAAGGCCACTGCAAGAGGCATTTCAGCACACTTCCAAACATCCTGCTGGCTAGGCCCAGACACTATCTCCTGCTCCAGATGTTGGAAAAGTGTTATATTTCACTTTAAAAAGCAAAAGGACCCATTTTCCCAGAATAAAGTCCCCAATACTGTGGCCTACAGCAATGCTGTCACCAAAGATTTTTAAACACCTGCATCTTCAAAATTATAGACATAAAATATTTCTTGGCCCTTACAGGCCATATTAAATAAATGTATAAATCCCATTTACATGAATTTTTGTAATGTCAAATTGATGAAGAATTTTTAAGCTGAAAACTCTTTGTATTTTTAAACTGATACCTATATCTTTTTACCTATGGACCCAAATTAAACACTACTCATAGGTACTTCCCTGTATCTTGGAAATTCTAATAATAGCTACCAAATTGTTATTTCTGAAAATCTGAATTACTTAATTCCTTACAAGGGCATCGATTCCTATCTGATATTGAGATACAGGTGGCTGGGTGCGGTGGCTCACACCTATAATCCCATCTCTTTGGGAGACTGAGGTGGGTGGATCAGGAGTTTGAGACAAGCCTGGCCAACATAGTAAAATCCCATCTCCACTAAAAATACAAAAAATTAGCAGGGCATGGTGGTGCATGCCTGTAATCCCAGCTACTCAGGAGGCTGAGGCAGGAGAATCGCTTGAACCCAGGAAGCGGAGGTTGCAGTGAGCCAAGATCATGCCACCACTCTAGCCTGGGCGACAGAGCAAGATACTGTCTCAAAAAACAAAACAAAACAAAACAAAAGATACAAATAAACTGTTTAGAAATTTTTAAAAAACCTTCCACATTATTTGACTTGTTAAGCCTATGAATAGTCATCAACAAGGAATCAAATCATACGAACTCACACCAGAAAACCTAATGTTGATAGCAAAGTCCTATCTACCCAGCCAAAATGTTACCGTGAGAAAGTAAAGAAAAAAGGAAGTCTTTAACTCCATTCACACTCTCAAAAAATATCAGTTACTATAATGCTCAGAGTAAAAACACAATTATTTTTTGTTATGTATTGGCAATTGAGATTAAATTAAAGCCAAAACTCATCTCTGGGAACCAGGAAAAACACTATATTTTAAAAGTGTCTTCAAAGTATTACTTCTTATCTAAAGCATAATATGATGAACTGGGAGTCATGCATATTTCATTTCAAGGGAGGAAAAACCTGAAAATCCTCTTTAAAGTCTTCTTTTATAGTTTTACATTTGTAACCACTGAAAACTTTAAATTGCCAGGCAGTGATTGTTTGAGATAAATATCTATAGACAAAATTTTAACTACTTATTAGCAACCAACCCACTTAGTGAAGTGATAAACTAGGAGAGCAAAGTGTATAAACAGGGAGTCTGAAGTAAGCTAAAGACAGCAGTGGCAGTTAATACCCCACTCAAAATAACTGAAAAATCTTAATGGTGCTACTTCAGAGCCTGCTAAGAACAGACTCAATGGCTCACGGCTATAATCCCAACACTCTGGGAGGCTGAGGTGTGCAGATCACCTGAGGTCAGCAGTTTAAGACCTGCCTGCCCAACATGGTGAAAGCCCGTCTCTACTAGAAATACAAAAAAAAATTAGCCAGGCATGGTGGCACCTGCTAGTAATCCCAGCTACTCAGGAGGCTGAGGCAGGAGAATCGCTTTAACCTGGGAGGAGGAGATTGCGGTGAGTTGAGATCACACCACAGCACTCCAGCCTGAGTGTCAAAGCAGGACTCCATCACACACTCACACATACACACACACACTCACACATACACACTCACACATACACACACACATACACACACACACACAAGCAGACTGAAAAAGCACCATTGTCTTTCACATGTTTTCCTCTATAAAGGCCTATCTTACATGAAGATAAAAGAGAGGAGATATGATAAATTCACAAGGAACCATAACATGATATCTGCTATTTGTGCACTCAGAGGTAAAAGGATAAAGACATTTTCACATTGTAAACAAAAGATCTATGAGCCTTTTCAATTGACAAGTGGAGGAAAAATGAATAAAGAATGCTTGATATCGCTTGATACCTTCTCCATGTAACCCATAGACTTAGGGCATACATTGGATCCTCATCACCTTCCTTTCTTCCTTAAATTACTTATTTACTCACTTCAGGAATTTTATGGAAAAGGTTTCCTGCCTACAGGCCTCATACACTTAGAAGTTTACTTACATAGCAAATCCCACACTAAGTGAATTAAAACTTGCCCCAATATTTACCCAAGTTCTAAGACACTGGGTCTAAATTTCTTTAAATCTGAACTGTCATAATTGAGAAGAGGGCCAAGATTTCTGGTAATAGTCTCACACCTTCCTTGGGGAGGACAAGTGCCTCACCTGCAGCGACATCATGTCAGGTCTGTACTGCTTGCGGAAGCCGAGGTCATACATGAGGAATTTCAGCATTTCAAAGGCTTGCTCTTCACTCATGTGTAGAAGCAGGACTCCAGCCACAAAGCTGATCCCCTGACAGTAACCCACTTCTTTGTCCAGCAAAGAATAGGCTTTCAGGAGGTTAAACAGTGACAGCTGCCCTGCCCCAAGCTGTACTGAAAAGTAAGGGTGAGTAGGAAATGTCCTTCCTGCAGAGGAAAAGAAGAAAAAGAGTTTTTGAAATGTCCTCATTCCTTGGAGACCACAGTGAAATCGCAATTCAGTGACCTCCAAGAATAAATCAACACTCTTTCCCAAACCAGTGAGAGTTGCTTCAAGTTGCCATGTAAGGTCTCTCTCTCTTGTCCCCAGTCCTGTCAGGCTACCATAAAATCTTCACACATATTATATGGGAGGAAATATTTTATGCTAACCAGTACTTCTTTCTAGCACGCACACACACACACACACACACACACACACACACACACACACAATTAAATAAAAATCTACAAACTGATGACATACTCAGGAGAGATACCAAAAAAATGAAAAATAAAATTTATTTTGACTATAAAGCAAGGTAAATTCTAAATTCATATAAAGACTACCTTCTAAATGAAACCAGAAGTCTAGAAGAGATATTATTTAAAAGAAAATCTTTGTAGTCTATAAAGATGTGTTTCTGCTGGTCTTGTAATATGACACTGGAGAGATTTTTTGGGTTTGTTTGGCTTTACATTCAGACCATCATTCAGAAGAAAATTTCTTTTTCAAATATCTTTTGCTCTCTGCTCTTAAGATACCTCCATGCGCCATTTAAACCACTTTTCAATATCAAAAAATATCAAGGAAACCATAAGGGTCATTTTCAAATAAATTCTCCTCTAAAATTTACTTTTGGGTATAAAATTCCCACAGAGACACTCGAGCTGGCAATGTGAGTCCTGTATCACTAAAAGGGTAGTTCTATATACTGAAACAAGCCCATCTTCACACTCAAGCTGTGTATACTGGTATGGGACATTCCTAGTTCCACAAAAATCAAGAGAGATGTCAGCTTCCTTGTGAAATGATTACTCATGTCAGTTAGAACTTGCAAAAGTGCCAGACTTTAAAATGTTTTCTCCCACATATGCTTAAAAGTGATTCCCCCACCGCCCCCAGGAACCAGTAAGATTAATTCTGCAGAGCCAGTAAGAGGAAGATACAAGAAAATAACAATTGCATGCCCAAGAAACACAGATGACTACAGGTAGAGCCAAATAAGCAATTTTTTAAATTATGGTTTTACTTTCTCACTTAAATCCAGAATCTACAAAGAAGTCAAACAGATTTACAAGAAAAAAACAAGCCCATTCAAAAGTGGGCGAAGGATATGAACAGACACTTTACAAAAGAAGACATATATGAGGCCAACAAACATACGAAAAAATGCTCATCATCACTGGTCATTAGAGAAATGCAAATCAAAACTACATTGAGATACCATCTCACGCCAGTTAGAATGGCGATCATTAAACAGTCTGGAGACAACAGATGCTGGAGAGGATGTGGAGAAATAGGAACACTTTTACACTGTTGGTGGGAGTGTAAATTAGTTCAACCATTGTGGAAGACAGTGTGGCGATTCCTCAAGGACCTAGAAATAGAAATCCCATTTGACCCAGCCATCCCATTACTGGGTATATATCTAAAGGATTATAAATCGTTCTATTATAAGGGCACATGCACACCAATGTTCACTGCGGTACTGTTTACAATAGCAAAGACTTTGAACCAACCCAAATGCCCATCGATGATTGACTGGACAAGGAAAATGTGGCACATATACACCATGGAATACTATGCAGCCATCAAAAACGATGAGTTTGGGTCCTTTGTAGGGACATGGATGAACCTGGAAACCATCATTCTTAGCAAACTGACACAAGAACAGAAAATCAAACACCGCATGTTCACACTCATAGGTGGGTGTTGAACAATGAGAACACATGGACACAGGAAGGGGAGCATCACACACTGGGGTCTGTGGGGGCGGGGATAGGGGAGGGACAGCAGGGGGTGGGAAGTTGGGGAGGGATAACATGGGGAGAAATGCCAGATATAAGTGATGGGAGGAAGGCAGCAAACCACACTGCCATGTGTGTACTTATGCAACAATCTTACATGTTCTTCACATGTACCCCAAAACCTAAAGTGCAATTTTAAAAATATTTTACTAAAGAAAACTATAAATACTCTTTCTATCCATTAACTTGATTCTAGCTCCATTTATATCTGACTGTAATGTGATCTCATTCTCTCTCTTTGATAGGATATCATGACTAACCCTGATTGTATCACCAATTTATGGTCAGAGAACCACAGATTTGCTTGGGAACACAGGGATTGCTTTGTTCAATGTCCCCACTTAGTAGAGAGGATTGACACTCAGAAGCAAGGTAACACGTCTAAGACCACAATTAGTGGCACAATCAGCACAAAAACTCAAGCTTTCAGTTTCTCTGTAAAATCCCTTTTTAATTCTGCTGGGCTCAAAAAAATAATTAACTGAGCTGGGTCCTTTCCCAACAAGAGCCATCTGTCACCCAAAAGGAATGGTAAAACTAGAGTTTGGCTAGTGATTTTTCATATGCCCTGCTATAAGATGACCCCACACATAAGGTAATCCTGTATTTTTCCAAATGGGCTCAAATAACGTTGTCTGGCCACCTCAGCTATATCAACTTTTAGAAGTACAAATAAAATGGTCAAATGCCAATGTATAATATTTAATATAATAATGTAGATATTTTAAAATAATAAAGTATGTTAGTCTAGAGAAAAATGAAAGACAATAAAATTGTTAAAAATCAAAGCATTTTTATTTCCATAAGTTATTTGAAATTCGGCATTTAAAAAGACTGCTTTATGATCTGTCACTGGAAATTCTGCCCCAGGTCATGAGTACCCATTCCTACACTACTACGGCAACTAATTTTTCACTCACTCTATAGGTGTACGGTCATAATTTCCACCAACACAACTTATTGTGGTGCTTTTTAAAGTGATATACAAAGGTGTTTTCAGCAATGTGGGCTATCTAGCACACCTTCACTAAATTTTTTGGTCCCCCTTTTAACCTATTCTAGGCTATTTCAAAACCAGCATTGATTAAGATACACCCATCTGCCCTAAAAAGTCAGTTATTCAAAATGCAGTAACTGAGAGCACCCTATCATATAACCTTTATAATAATTTAAATACAAGATGGTTCCCTTTGCACAGGCAAAGTTTTGGGGTGAAAACTTCATTTAACAGACAGGCATTTATGGGATCGTCAGTCAGGTAGAAGGCCAACTTGCCCTCAGTGAAGGACAAAGTTAGCGGCTCTGTACATGCCAACAGGTACTCTTCATCAACACCAAGAACAAACAAAATCAAAAAAAAAAAACAAACAAAAAAACTCAACAGAAGGACCAGCTGTTTACTTTTGTAAATTATAATCCACATGACAAACATACCTAAATCCACGAGAATCGCGTGCTGCTGCGCAGTGAGCTGCTTCAAAAGCTCCTTATAGGATATGTCGGGAGGCTGCTGCTTGTTAGGCAATCTGTGTCTGAGGCGGTACTGTAAAGCCAGGAACTGCCAAATTTCTCCTCGTCGACTTTTGGGAACTCCTACAATCAAGGAGATAAATAAGCAAGCCCTTGGTCTCTAGAATGAAGCCGCTAGATCCCAGTTGACTCGCTATGTAAACAGGCAGCTGTACATTGCACGCCACCCTAAGACCACACAATAGGATTGACAGAAGCATATTTTGGCAAGCTTAATCCTATAGCTCCTGATGTCTAGCAAAAGAAAACCCTCACTCAACACTTACCATAATGACAGACTTAAGAGTAACATCACCTATCGCTGACTGAGCATTAATATAACATTTATGGAGGGTACCTAGCTATTAAGTACATGCACTCAGAAAATGACTCGACTATAAGGTAGGCAATTACTATTAGGCCTACTTTATAGACAGAAAGCTGAGGCAGAAAGAGATTAAGTAATTGTCCCAAATTCACATGGCTAGGAAGTAGCAGTTTAGAATTAGAACTCCAGAAGTCTGGTTTCGGAGGCCAAATCCTGAAATCCCAAAGTGTGTTACTGCCTATTTTCACCCTTTATTTGGCTTGAGGATAGCAACAAATGCTAATCCTTTTTTACAACACTAAATATTTGCCAACAAGTAACTTTATAATACAGAATCAAACAGCATTCTTATGTGGGCATTAAAAATGCAACAATATGCCGGGAGTGGTGGCTCACACCTGTAATCTCAGCACGTTGGGAGTCCAAGGCGGGCGGATCACTTGAGATAGGAGTTCCTTACCAGCCTGGCCAACATGGTGAAACCCTGTCTCTATGAAAAATATAAAAATTAGCGGGCATGGTGGCATGCGCCATGTAATCCTGGCTACTTGGGAGGCGGAGGCAGGAGAATCACTTGAATCTGGGGTATGGGGGTTGCAGTGAGCCGAGATTGCACCATTGCACTCCAGCCTCGGAGACAGAATAAGACTCTGTCTCAAATAATAATAGTAATAAAAGTAGTAAACAATAAGGCATAACTGACATGCTCCAGAACATCATTTGGGCTTTGAGAAAAAAATGATTAGCACAGGTAATGAAACATTATTATGCTTGAACACCAAAATGTATCACCAGCAGTTCAAGGATGCTATGACCGTTTTTTTCATGACAAGGGACATGAAGTAAGCACTGGGAGAGACAGAATTCAATTCTGCACAGTGCAGCCAACTTTATTTTACTCACTACGAGTTTTCAGTTTGGACAGATCGAATCTGCAATGGGTTCCTTTGCTCCAGCTGGTTAAGGAAAGGCTTAATGGCCGTAATCTCTTCTGACTGAATGCCACAGTTCGTACAAGCTGAAAGTATTATTGTCAGACAGGTGAAACCAAGGCTCGCTGGCATGATTTCTAAGGCCTTCATGAGTTCCAAACTACCTTTTTAAGTCCCATTACTTCCCAGTCCCTGCTGTATACTAGACACTTGTGGTCATTTTCATTCCTCTAGTTTTTGCTCCTACTATTGCCTTTACGGAATTTCAACCTCCCTCACTTGACTACCCATTACATGTCTATTCATCTCTCGAGAATGAGCTTGAGTGTCACCTTTTCTGTTGAAGCTCTCCCTAACATATCGAGATGTAATCAGTCCCTTTTCACATACTATTTGACTCATACTACAGCATTGCCATATTAGATTACAGTTAGCTCTATGTCTCTTTTCCCTACTTAAATGGTCCTTGAGAATAGCAAGCATATTTTCATCTCCATATGATAAAATCCAAGAATACATCTTGCTGCTCATACATTTGTTGAATGAATGAATGAATGAATGACAACATAGAAAATGACATTTTTAGAAGGTAACTATCAGCCCATTAAATGAATCACTGATAACCTGAGTGGGCAGTTTTATTATCCATCCAATAATGTATGTACAAAAAGTAACTTCACTCCAGTTAAACAAACATTTCTTGAGCATCCAGTATATAGCAGAGAATAAAGCAAGGCAGTCAGGATACCTCATCGTTGAGTGATAAAGAAACCCATTCTCAGGAAAATCATCTCATTCATTCAATTGTCCATTCATTCAGTAAATAATGAGTGCAAGATATTGTCTTAGGTGCCAGGCGTGCAGTGGTGGGGTAAGAAAAACATTAAACAAATACATACATAAATATTAAATTATAAACTATGATTAAGTATAATTATGAAAGAGAATGATAAAGGACAATGAATTGATTTTGGTGGGGTGGCAGGGCTGGTGTTCTGAGGAAATGGTATTTGAGAGACCTGAGGGACAACAGAATGCTCCAGGCTTGGAACATAGGTGGCAGTCACTCCAGAATACCACACGAATGCCCTGAGATGGATGGAGGAAAGAGGAGTGAGAAGAGGATGGGATGGAAAGAAAGGGAGATGGGAAATGAGGATGTAGAAAGGTAAGAAAGATGGAGAGTAGAGAGGGCTGGAACATTCCATGCAAGAAATAGCATAGGGCAGATCAGCACTCAAAGTATTATAGTTCAGTGTCTCCAGAGCACACAATACAAGGTAAGGAGAGACAAAAAATTAGATCAGAGAGGTGGAAGGAGAGATTATAGAAGAATGATATGGTTTGGCTGGGTCCCCACCCAAATCTCATCTTGAATTTTAGCTCCCATAATTCCCAGGTTTTATAGGAGGGACCTGGTGGGACATAATTGAATCAAAGGGGCAGTTCCCCCCATACTGTTCTCGTGGTAGTGAGTGAGTCTCATGAAATCGGATGGGTTTTTAAGGAGAAACCCCTTTCACTGGGTTCTCATTTTCTCTCGTCTGCCTCTATGTAAGACATGCCTTTTGCCTTCCACCATGAATCTGAGACCTCCCCAACCATGTGGAACTGTGAATCCATTAAACCTCTATTTTTTTTTTAATTGTACTTTAGATTCTGGGGTACATGTGCAGATCATGCAGGATTGTTGCAAAGTTACATACATGGCAAGGTGTAAACCTCTTTTTCTTTAGAAATTACTCAGTCTTGGGGATGTCTATAACAGCAGCATAAAAATTGACTAATACAAAGGCCTTGGGCACAGGGCCAAGAAGTTTAAACTGTATCCAATAAGAAATGGGAACGGCCAGGAGCGGTGGCTCATGCCTGCAATCCCAGCACTTTGGGAGGCCAAGGCAGGTGGATCACAAGGTCAGGAGTTCGAGATCAGCCTAGCCAATATGGTGAAACCCTGTCTCTATTAAAAATACAAAAATTAGCTGGGCATGGTGGTGGGTGCCTGTAGTCCTAAGCTACTCAGGAGGCTGGGGCAGGTAAATTGTTTGAACCTGGGAGGCAGAGGTTGAGTCTCGGCGACAGAGCGAGAGACTCTGTCTCAAAAAAGAAGAAAAGAAAAGAAATGGAAAGATAAGCACTCCTAAAACATCTTTGAAAGTCATGCCAAAGAATGGTGTTATCTGTATCTCACAGACATTCTGTTAACCACTACACTGTCTCCCAAATAAAGGATTCAATGAAAATCTTTAGGATTTCCTTATCTTCAAGGATAAAGAACACTATATTAAGCTTGTCAATGTGGCAGCTTTCAAAATAAATCTTACCTTAATTTAAATTTAACTGTGCAACAGTCTCACACGTTAGCACAGGCTTTTAAAACAACATTTATTATAGGATTTCTCTGGGTATTTCGGAATTTTTATTTTACACCCACAGTTTATGCAGGCCATGGAAATTCTAATTTTAACATATTTAATCTGAGTCACAGAAATTGCAACTAAAAATTGACTTATTAGCTTTATTTTTAAATTTAAACTTTTTAAATATCAGGCATCTTATATGGCATAGCAGCAATAAAAGAATAAATGCAATATAATGGCTAAATAAAAGGAACTTCTCCAAAATTAGTGAAGAAATGAATGGATGAAAGAAAACTGATTGATTACTTAACCAGAATATAAATCTACATGTATAAATACATAAAAGTATATATACACATTCATGTAAATATACACATATATGTAAATAATTACTTCTGACCGAATGATGAAATGAGTCAAGTTTAAAGGACTTGAATTATTAATATTTTTATGGCAGTGATCAAAGATTTGTATCAATGCATGCACTTCCTCCTTGGTATACACCACCACCAAGCTGAAAATAGCTGGTGGAAGTAAGCAAAAAAAACAATAGAAAAGGTTTGTGTTACCTCCTCAGAGACAGTCACTAAACTACAGGAAGAAACAAATTACTTTTTTTTTAATAAGCAAAACAAAAGGACAAAATAACATCTGAACTCCACAAATCAAACAACAACAACAACAAAAATCCCCCAGGCTTTTCTTTAAAAAAAAAAGATTATTGAGATTATCCCAAATACCTTCTTTAAGAAGAGTATGAATATCTTCCATATCACATCTGATTTTAGCTCTGCAGTTTAACAACTTCTTATCCCAGGTTATGAAGACCTCTTTCTGACACACACCAACTTCTTCATAGTCTAATTTAACTTTTCTGGACTGGAGTTCATCTCTGCTTGCTAAGGAAGAAAGAGAGAATTTACGTGAGACCAATGTGTTTTTAAAATGCAAAATTTTAAACATTTGATTGCATTTGTAAAACCATACCAAATGACTTTCAGGAATTAACTGGTAATCTATTCTTAAAAAGAAAATTTAAAACAAACTGAGAATACATGAAAGGGATTTCAAGCTTTGAGTCATTTCATGTGGAAAAAAAAATGAGGAATAATCTCCTAAGGAGGTTTCACTCTGTATCTTACATACAGTAACTCTGCTGAGCATAAAAAGCTGATCATTCTATAATTTTCCATTTTTTGACAAATGTGACAGATAGACTTGGAAATGATATCTCATATCATCTTAAACGCCATGAAAGTGTTAATATTTTATATGTGCCATATGTGAGAAGACAAGGACTTGATTTGAAAAACCTATAACCATGATAAAACAAAGTATTTTTGTAACTGCTTCTGGAGTTATCCACACTGCTCTTAATAACTAATAAAGCTAGCTTATGCATTCCTCTGTTCGTTATTTTCTCTTTCTTTTGTTTTTGCTTTTGTTTTTTAGAGACAGGTTCTCACTCTGTACCCCAAGCCGGAATGCACTGGTGCAATCATAGGTCAGTGCAGCCTCAACCTCCTAAGCCCCCATCTCACTCCTGGGTAGCTGGGACTACAGGCATGTGCCACTATGCTTGGCTAACTTGACAAATTTTTTGTAATGATGGGATCTCTTGATGTTGCCCATGCTGGTCTTAAACTGCTGGCCTCAAGGAATCCTTCTACCTCACCCTCCCAAAGAGCTGGGTTACCAGGTCTGAGCCACTGCACCCAGCCTTCCTGTGTTCATTTGTAATAAACTTAAAAAGAAAATTTCCTTTCACTGAAGTTTACGCTAACTCAACTTTTTAAATAATATAGAATTATCTCTAATTTGACGATCTAACATACATGCCCAGAGCTCATTAAAAGCATGTCTATAAAAGCAATCATTATCTTGATTTGGTCTTTATCATGACCAATTAATTTCAAAAGAGAAGGAAGAACAGACACAAGCGTATTATTTCTTCTCTTCATTAGGATTCCAGTGGACAGGAACGTCTCAGAGCAATCAGTATTCACGCATGCTCACAGTGCTCGGCCACCTTACCTCCTGAAACACAAATCTGTGTCATGCATCCCAAGTCCTCGACAGCACAAAAACAATAGCAGAATGAAAGTTACTCTTTACTATGTTTGAAACCATTTCGAAAGACTTAAAATATCTTTATTATTCAAGCAAGGCAGTAAAAATTCCTACTTAAAAGTCCAGACATAATCTAAAGATAAATTGCAGCACAAAACTATTCCTTCTGGATACCACAGATGGCTTTCTAACCCTGTTTAACTTGGGTGTTTGGCTATTTGCTTCATATTTCTCTGATAACCAAATAATTTTTTTAAAGGCATGGGTTTATTAAGGCTAAAAACAAATATACTCCTATATATAACTTTACTAATTATTTTCTTCACAATGGACAAAACGTAATACTTCCTTAGAGTTCTTCTCTAATCTTCTCTAGATTATTGTGCATTTAAAATAATCATAAACTTAAGTGCCAGCCACACACGCTGAGGATAAAATGGTGAGTAGGGGGAGTTACTATCTGCCCTTAACTGTTTAACTAGAAAAGACTAAAGAACTATCTAGAAATAATTATCCATTGGTTAGAATTTTCATAGGTTAAACTGTTTTTCATCTTTGTCATATAAGCAGAGAAACCGAGAACCGATAAAGATTTCTGAGAATACATTCTAAATGTCACCTCCTTTCTGATCCTCTAAAATCTTATAGTATAACTGACCTCAGAATACACATGTAGCCATTTATATTAGAACATTCGTTTCTTTATATTAACACACATAGCTGAGAAATACTGTGGGGTACTGGGGAAAGCCCGAGAACCAGGATGAATAAACATGAGTTTTGGTACTTGCTCTGCCAGTATGTCACTATCTGACCTTAGGTTAATTCCCTACCTTCCCCAAGCCAGTCACTACTTCTGCTGTAGAATGAAGAATCTAGCTAAGTAATCTCTAAGGCTATTTCTACTTCAAATAGCTATGATTCTGAAACCATCGTTTGATATTTAATATCAGATTTTATTTGTACATACTCCCAAGCAAAATATAGTTTAATGCATTAAATTTTTTGAGGAAATGATGACCATCTTCTTCTTTCAACCTCTTTGAGTTAGTTTAAGATATAACGACTTGCTTACAAATATGAATTCAATTTCTTTTGAAGCCTTTGAAACCTCAAGTGGGCATACCATTTATCACACCAAACATTTAAAATTATGTCAGTGACAATTAATAGCATTTTTATTGAAAAGAAAAGAAGATGTATTTCCAAAGGATATTAAAATCCTATGTACTTTTTCATTATGCTAACAGCAATTTTTTTAAATGTGCTCTTGCAAACCATATATTGTTCAAATAAAACCTTGAATTGAATCACAGGTGTAGTAACAGGAACCTTAAGGTAGATGATAAAACTCAGAAATGTGGACTACCTGTACTAAAAAAGCTTTATGAAAGACAATATAATAAAAGCAAGTGAGAGAAATACCTAAATTTTACTTGTGCCAATAATCTTAAAAGTCAAATGACCACTTATGTTAAATCTTTCATCTTTCATTTTACAAATACAAAAATGAGGCCCTTTCAGGTTAGCTGATTTTCCCAAAATGATGACATTTACGCATTTTTTTGGATTTTTGAGCAACTCTTTGCATGTGGTTCTATCAGTACTGGAGTAAATTATATAATAATTCTTTCAAAGGCTGCAAAACACATTCCAAAGCATTTGGTAATCATAAACTTAGTAATAAAATATCTCAAACAACACAAAAGCTATTATAAATTATTTGATTCTAAATGTAATGATTTGAATGTAATTTTGTTAAACAGAACATTTATAAAGCGTTAACAAAAATAGGAACAGATTTGGCTTAATAACAGGTCATTATAATTAAATAGTTAAATTGAATACAGTGTAAGTAGAATTTATTTGAAGTGGACATATTTCTCCCGTTATGAATGTAATTGACCTGAAACGTCAAAATCACATTAAAAAAATTGCTTTCTCATATTTAAGGATTTTTTAGAAGTGACACTAAAATAATAAACTTTTAGTCACTTCAAATAGATTGATTCTCTATTATCTACATTCTATTTTATCTAAATATACTCTAAGGGTTTCTAATGTCTTAAATTTATTTAAAATGCAAACCCATTTAAAGCAAAACCGCAAATATCTGAAGCTGATCTCTCCCATGTTATAACTACCTCAAAAAATGGAAATCAACAATTATAATCAGTACATATTCATCTTACAGTGAGCTTACAGTCCAAAAATGAGTGCGGCTGGTACGTAGGGGGAGAGAAAGGTAGGTTTAACCTACACCCTTAAATCACAGCATCATAGCATTTAGTCTGTTAGAATGGCTAACCTTCAAGTTTTTGGTTTTCTTTTTCCATTCGAAGCAGCAAGATTTGTTGGTGTATAGCTTTTCTCCACAAACTCCTCAGTTCTTTTGATTTCTTTCTTTCTTCAATCTTTTCTGGGTCATCCTCCCCAGACAGGAATATAACCAGCGGTTCCTCCTCCATGGTTGGAGAGAGAGGGGACAGTGGCAGCAGCTCGCTCCTGTCCAATCCATCTGCAGAGAAGAACACAGTGAGAGGCATTCCTTAGCAGTAACCGAGACAACACAAGTTTCCCATCTGATCTTCTACACTTAAAAATGTCAAAAGCTGCTTTCCCTATAACAAAGTTTCTGGAACTAATATTTAAGTAAATTCACTAGACTGAATTCCCCTTCTGGATTTCCCTGTCATGATGAAACAAAAGTACAGACCATTTCACCACTTCTTCTTTCTACCCAAAGAGCTCTGTAAGATAGGTGCCCCCAAACCAACTTGCCTTTCCTGAGTCCAGCACTTCTGCAATTTACTTATGTATATTCTCTGGCTGTGAGGAACAAGAAGTGGGTAGGTATCAGTGATCTCCAAAGGTGTACCTCAATCATGAAAATCTGTTAGAAGCACAGCCACTGAGCAATGCTGGGCCTCTCCTGGCCAAGCACAACACTCCCTCTACTCGCTTCTCCTGCAGCACTTTTTTCTTTTTCAACTTTTATTTTAGGTTCAGGGGTCCATGTGCAGGTTTGCTACATGGGTGAATTATGTTGTGACTCTGGGGTACAATGTAGAAACGACTTCATCACCCAGGTAGTGAGCAGAGTACCTGATAAGTCGTTTTTCAATCCTCCTCCTCCTCCCACATTCCACCCTCACAGGGCTCCCAGTGTCTAATGTTCCCTTCTTTGTTTCCATGTGTATTCAGTGTTTAGCTCCTACCTATAAGTGAGAGCATGCAGTATTGGGTTTTCTGCTCCTGTGTTAATTCTTAGGATAATGGCCTCCAGCTGCATCCATGCTGCTCTAAAGAACATGATTTCATTCTTTTTCATGGCTGCGTAGTATTCCACATGCAACACTCTCTTAACAGGCTGCTCATTCCTTCCCTTCCTTCCAGGCCATCCTCCATACTACTACCAGTAAGTTTCATGTTAACAACTAGGAGCACATCTCTTAAGACATTTCAATGGTTATTTCCCAAGAACAAACTGGGACTAGCGTTTAAGTCCCTTCGGATTCTGGTCTCCACTAAGACTTCCTGCCTGATATCTCAGTCTCCCATTCTCTGTACCCATCATGCTGAGTTTCTCATGATTCTCTCATCTGCAAAGTTCACTCCAGTGACTCCAGAGCCTCGTCATTCCTACTTTCTGAAGCACAGCTCTTCTAGTAACAAGTTTAAATAAATACCTAATTGTTCTGTGAAGCTTTTCCTGACCGCCTCAGACAGAGTTAGCTTCATCTTTAGTAATACCAGTTATTTTCTTGTTTTCTTCTTCTTTTTTCTTTTTTTTATTCACTGACCTCTGCCTCTACTCTTATCATTTACTTCCATATGTTTTATTGCTGTTGTTTTTAAATTTTAATATCTGGCTCCTTTACTAGCTTTTTGAGTTAAACACTCAGTACAACTAATTTTTGTCCTTCTTGGTTTTATGTTAATACACTCATGGCGTTTAACTGCTCCCTAGATTCATTTCAACAGGTAAGGCTCTAATCATCAAATTTTCTTCCTTCTAGTTTCTAAGAGTAGTTTTCTATTCCCATTTTAGTTGTCTTCTAATCCTTTGTTTCTTTCTTTTTTTGGCATTGTGGTCAGAGAATATTCATAAATGATCATGATTATCTGGATTTCAAAAAGATTTACTTAAACATCTTTGTGGACAGGTACATAATTACATCTCATGAATGTTCCAAGTGTACCAAAAATGAATGAGTTTTCTCTATAGGAGGTGAACTCCTATATAAATATAGGTCAAGTTTATTCGCTTGTGTTACTCAAATATTATCTATATTTAATTTCTAGAGAGAAATATGTTAAAATCTCCTGTGGGAGCTATTAATTTAGTGATTTCACTCCAGCATTCTTTTAGGTGTTATTTTCTAGCTCTTACATCATTATGTATGTTTTCATGATTGTTCAATCTTTTTGTTTGCCTCTTTGGATGCTTTTGCTTTAATAAGTCAATTGCTTGAAGAGAGCTACCTGTGCTCTCTTTTGCTTGGTATTTGCATAGTGTATTTATTGTTCAATATTTATATGTCACTTTGTTTTGTGTGCAGCTCTTATAAAAGACTATGTTGCTTTTCTAATAATAAAAGATCTTTGGAAGCTAAGATGGGATGACTGTTGTGCCCAGGAGTTCAAGGCTACAGGGAGCTATGATTGTACCACTGTAACCCCAGCCTGGGCAACAGAGCAAGGCCCCATCTCAAGAAGAAAAAAAAAAAAAAAAAAACCAGAAAAAGAAAATGGACATACAACTTCTTTCTTAGCATGATCATAGTTCCCTCAACAAGTACAGGTTTTTGGAAACTCTCTCACTCATTCATTCATTGAATAAGCAAGTGTTGAATGTCTAATGTTTTCTAATGATACCTGAAAGGGAAACCACTGTACTACACACAGAAAGTTGTTTCTACAGTGTAATCACTTAAATCTCTTTATACACAGCATTTGCATTCCATTAGCTAATTTCTGACACTCACAAGGAGCAGTTCCTTAGGGAGTACCACACAGACCTTGCTGCTGCATTGCTGAGGGAGATTTATTCATGGGAGAAGCAACCCTGAGGAAAATGCGCTGTCGCCAGGAGATCCTGCGAGGAGTGACAGAGGTTCCACCCACGCTTAGGGACTCATTGCTGCAGGAAGACGAGGTCCTTTTCCTCCCTTCTCCATCACTGCAGAAAGCAAACAAATGTATCACTTGTAAGGTGAGCTGCCCATCATGGCACTTCACAACCAACTGGTAGCACAAGCCATTCACAAGTTCTGCCACGGACAAGCAAAAGCCACAGGCAACATGGAGCGATGCGTCACCAGGCACACTGTCACACAGGCCACCACATTTTGGGGAAACTGCAATCTAGGCCACAGCCCAGTCATGAGAAGCTCCCCTGTTTCTACTCATTCCTTAGCAGCCAACCAGTCCTAGTTCTGATCTGACGAACAGAAGCACTTGTAAGGAGGAGTACAGGTGGCTTAAGTCATGAACTCATGCTTTGCTAAGGAAATAACATGTATTTAGCTTATTCGAAACAAGGTAAATATTCCATAAAAGGCTCACGAAGAGCTTTTGTTAGAGCTCTTATAGAACAGGTCAACAAAGACTGTTTCTAATGGCCTATGACTCTTAAGATCTGTCTTCTAATTGTCAGCTACCAATCGCTGGATTGTCGCAAAAGATAAACTGAATATAGGCAGAAGAGTCAACCTTGGGATTATTGTTAGGTGACATACTAAGAAAAAACTAGGGTCAAATAAGATTGGATAGCTAAGTTAAAATATAGATCTTATGGTTTTATTGATTTATTTATTTTGTAAGATAAGGTCTCATTTTTTCACCCAGGCTAGAATGCAGTGGTGCGATCATAGCTCATTGCAGCCTCAACTTCCCAGGCTCAAGAGATCCTCCTGCCTCAGCCTCCAGAGCAGCTGGGACTACAGGTATACATCACCACACCTGGCTATTTAAAAAAAATTCTTCATAGAAACAGGGTCCCACTGTGTTCCCCAGTCTGGTCTCAAACTCCTGGGCTCAAGCAATTCTCCTGTCTCAGCTCCCAAAGTGCTGGGATTAAAGGCATGAGGTACCACACCCAGACTGTTAAAAAAAATGTAAACAGATTTCTTTACAGCGGAACTGGTTAGAGACTGTTAATACACTGGCATGCACTGTGCCTCTCCAGCAGGGAAATAGTGTATAGAAATTCCCCAATTTATTGAAATTAATTGACTCTAGAATCATCTCCCTCAATTTTGGGGGGACAGGGAGTGGTGTCACATCATGCTATATTAGTGCATGTGAAAATGGTCCTCTACTCTAAAAATTTCATATCCTAGAAAAGACCACTCTGAGTTACACCAGACTTAACTGCAAAAAAGGTCAGTGTGACTCAAAATTATTTTTGAGGCCAACTATGCTGCTGGAAGACCTCACAATAATTGTTGCTGTTAGTGGCAGGAGTATCTTACACTTTTAAGTTTCACAGTCTGAGTTTGCCTGATAGAATGATGAGGATACCAATATTTACAAGTGGTGATACCAGCAAATGAAGGTATGAGACTTTTGATGGAATCAAAAAGGAGAGTTCCGAGGTCAGAAATAAAGCTGATCCAGACGAGCCACTCTCAGATACTCAAAGGAACTCAATAGTGTTGAGGCAATTCATAGTGAGAAGGACAATTCAGCACCTGCCTATCATCTCTCTCTTTTTTTTTTTTTTTTATTGAGACAGAGTTTAGCTCTTGTTACCCAGGCTGGAGTGCAATGGTGCGATCTCGGCTCTCCACAACCTCCGCCTCCTGGGTTCAAGCAATTCTCCTGCCTCAGCCTCCTGAGTAGCTGGAACTACAGGCATGCGCCACCATGCCCAGCTAATTTTTGTATTTTTAGTAGAGACGGGGTTTCACCATGTTGACCAGGATGGTCTCGATCTCTTGACCTCGTGATCCACCCACCTCGGCCTCCCAAAGTCCTGGGATTACAGGCGTAGCCACCGCATCCGGCCCCTATCATCTCTTTATTTACTCAGGTAATTCAGTCAGTTCTAGTCTGGATCTATTTTATGGAAACATTACTTCTGGAATAGCTAAATTAAAGTCGAAAAAAAAGAGTTCTGAGCTGCTATGTAGACAGCAAGTATAATAATGTAATACTTTAGAAAGTACAGTACTTGATACATATATCTCAATATAGTCCAACTGGTTATTATGTATCCAGGATAACATTATAACCCTAATATGGGTCCACTGTTCAAAACTCCCTGAGACAGTGGCCAGTGCCATGGTTCACTGCCTGTAAACCCAGCACTTTGGGAGGCCGAGGCAGGTGGATCACCTGAGGCCAGGAGTTCAAGACCAGCATGACCAACATGGTGAAACCCTGTCTCTACTAAAAATACAAAAAAAAAAAAAAAAATTAGCCAGGCGTGGTGGCGGTACCTGTCATCCCAGCTACTCAGGAGGTTACGGCACAAGAATCACTTGAACCCGGGAGGTAGAGGTTACAGTGTGCCGAGAATCTACCACTGCACTTTAGCCCGGGTGACAGAGCGAGACTCCGTCTCAAAATAAAATGAAATTCTGAAAAACAAAAACAAAAACAAAAAAAAAACTCCCCGAGGCTGGGCATGGTGGCTCATGCCTGTAATCCCAGCACTTTGGGAGGCCGAGGCAGGCAGATCATTTCAGGTCAGGCGTTTGAGAACAACCTGGCCAATATGGCAAAACCCTCTCTCTACTAAAAACTCAAAAATTAGCCAGGTGTGGCTAATTATACAACTGTAATCCCAGCTACTCAGGAGGCTGAGGTGGGAGAATCACTTGAACCTGGGAGGCAGAGGTTGCAATGGGCCAAGATCACACCACTGCACTCCTGCCTAAGCAACGGGGTGAGGCTCTGTCTCAAAAAAACAAAACAACAAAGCTTCCTGAAATATTGAATATATATATATATTTGCCTTTGCCTTTATTTGCACTTTAGAAAACATTAATGCAAGTATTTCCCTTTTAAAAAATGATTCAAATGTTCTGTGTATAATTACATCCCAATAAATACTGCTGAAGTACTCAGTACCTTCATTTTTATAACATGATCTTGCTTGCAGTTATTTGCCAAATGCCCAGTTCATAGGAATATTTATAGCTTCTAGTGTAGTAATGAGCAAATAATAAGCACTCAATAAATATCCACTGAATAAAATAATATTTTGTAAAACTAAATGAAACATTAACTCAGCAGGTTAAGTGAAATAGACAAAAATATTGGTTAGGCTAACATGTCAGGAATAAATAAAAGATCTACCTTCTTAAAACCCTTTATTGGGAGTCCTGACTTTAAGTCCTTTTGGCAGAAAGCTCTAATAGCTTTGTTTCTTGAATGTATGCTCTGAACTGTTGATGGCACTGGTAGGTATAGACCACGACAATAAAAAACAAAAAGCATATTTTTTCTAGTAAATGTTATTTCATTCCTACATAAAAGCATCTAATTTATAACTTAAGCTTTGAAAGCTAAATGAAATCCTTATGTAAATGCACTTATTTTCAATGCCCCACGTGACAAAAGTTACCAAATATTAATTTCTCTTGACTTTTAAAGTGCTCTAACAGAGCTGACCAAATCAAAGGATTCTGAAATGTTTATATTTTAATGCTGGAATTAATATAGCTTTTAACAATTACCTTCCAATTCACTGCTAATGACATATCAAGTGTTTAGAAGGTACTAAAAATAAAACTGGGTTGTACCCATATCAGTTTCATGATTGCCTATAAAATACAAGGTTTGGGGGGGAATATGTTATAAAAGAGGCGCATACGGTATTTACATTAGCCCACAGATATGTATTTGGAAATTTCATAAATCTAAAATTTTAAATCCTATCATATAAATAAACTGCCCAATGACAAATTTTTCACCCATGTCTAGAATTTAATGACTAGTACTAAGCCAAAAAATTAGCAGTCAATATAGAAGATAATAATGCACTGAAAAGAAGAACTTACATAACATACCACTGACCCTTTATCTTGTACTAAAAATCGACATCTTGAAAAAGCAGTTGGTTGCTGAGATATGGCAAAGGCAGCTCTGCTTTTAATAAGAGAAGATCTGTATTCAGAAGTCAAGTTCCCAATAAAGGTTTAAGCAGTCAGTGCAATTATGTAACTTATAGTAGTTTCCTGTTTGATTTACATTTAGTCAGCAATCTGCCATTCTTAAGGTGGCAACTGCAAGAATCAAAACCACATGAAACACTGCATCAAAATTCCTATAACCCAACTTAAAAACTACACTGGGATGGGGGCAGGGAGTTTAATTCTTTTGGTTTGTTTGTTTTTTATTACAATATTAGTTATCACACTAACGTCTCCTTTAATTAAACTTAGGTAAGCAAGCATAATGTGTCTACGTTTTGAGTAAAAATAAAAACAAGACAACATGTGTTTACCATAACAATAATAAAGCTAAGCCTCTCAGAAAGCACTTACTTCATGCCGGGTATCAATTGTTCTAAACATTTTACAAGTATGAATTAATTTCATCCCCAAAGCAACCTTACAAGGTAGGTGTCATTACTACTTCCATTTTTAGTGACAATACTAAAATAGAAAGAGGCTAAGTAACTTGCCCACAGTCACATGGATAATAAAGTGAAGGAGCCAGGATTCAATCCCAGGCGGTCCAGAATCCAGACATTAGGCACTGCAGCTTATCCTGCCAGTGTAAATACTCTTTGCATTCATTTTGAACAAAGCGCTATAGGACCCCAGAAACAAAGCTGTCGGGAACCCCAGGATCCTTTGCATTTCGGGTGAAAAATTAAGTCTCCAGTTAGCACTAAGCCTCTTGGTTGGGTATCTCTCTTTCCAGTTTTTAATGGGTTAATTTTATAACAGCAGAGAAATAACTTCAGAGTACAATTAGGTGCTCATTTATGTAAATGTCTCATTTCCTTTTCTTTGCTTTGAAATAATTACATTCCAAAAATGTATATACTTATTGTAAATAGGAGGACCAAATGAAAAACACCTTAATTATACATACACTGGTATTTTAATTATCTTTACATTTTTAAAATGATGAAACAAATTATAACCATTCCCTTATGTTTCCATAAAATCTTTTTCCTTCTTCTTTTGTATTTGGGAATCTAAACATGTGTATTATAAAACCGCTTCCCAAGTGACATATTCAGGAAAAGTATTCTGTACCAGCGCCACCTCTCAGAAATTCTCAAAGTTAAAAATAAATATCTAGGAAGGAAATATATCTTGGAAAACTTCCACCCATTTTTGATTGGTATACTGCATATATGCTCTCTCTTATTACTCACCAATTAATTAAGAACCACAATTCATGAACACAAATTAAGACTTTATATGGGGAGAAAATATCCCATATTACATGTATCCCCCAGTATAGGGTAGGAAAACTATTTCCGAGTCCTTTGTATACAGCATCCATCAAATGCTTTGGCTACAATATGAACTTGTCAAGGCTTCAATTTAACCTTTAACACATCCTTGAACAAGCAATTATAGCCTTTACCAGATCAACTCTTAAATTAATATCATATTTCTTATTTTAACACAGAATTGTAAAGCCTACTTGCCTGCTTTAAAAAGAATTAATTCACTGACTGTTGTACAGAATGAAGGTGCTCTAATGGCCACTCATAGAGACTCAACTTTAAGAAGAATGGAGTCAGATTTTACTTCCTGCCAGGGCAACATAGATACACTTTGTACAAAGGTAAACTCTTCTGTCAGGACCAGTCTTACAAAGGTGGTGTTCTGCTGATCGGCAACCTGCCTCCTATCCCCCAGCCCTCTGGCAGCCAGCTGAAACTCCCAGCATCTGCACTTCAGCCTGAGTGACACAGCAAGACTCTATCTCTAAAGGTCCAAATAAATAGCTACACACTGGCTAAATCTACATCTAAATCACAATGAATTACAACATAAGATAGGTATCGAAACTTGATTAATGTGATAGCAACTATTGAACAGAAAGCAGAAAAAGCCTTCTCTTTGTAAGCCTTAAGAAAGGCTAAGTGGAAGAATATAGGAATGAAACTGTATTTTTTCTAAAGGATCCACAGTACAATTTAACTCATAATTGCATCAGGTGCACTACAGTTTATATAGGTTCTGGCTTTCAACTGCGTACATGTCTGTTATCATATGGAAAATCTTTACTAATTAAATAAAATTGAGATTAACCTATTCTAGTGGAAATCAATATATCGTATTTGACCTATGAGTCAAAAGAGATATATTAGTCAGTGGAACAACACGTAGATAAAAGAAGGAGAAGAACAAAGAGTTTTATTTCCTAAACTCCACACAGTGCAGATTTTAAGAAAAGAAGTTTAGTATATAGGAATTTAAAACATCTCTGGGTATCTCATATGTTTATTTATATCCTGATTACCTAAGCTGAAAAAAAAATCAAGTGAAATATAAAACCTCTTTGGGGTTCAATCTAACCATGTGTAAAATAAGGATATCGTAGGCTAGATTATCTCTAAAGTAATAAACAGACCTAATTCCATACCTGTAGCAAAACCTAAAAGGGCACAAGACAGAACTAACATTTCCATTAGGCTTTTAAGAATAGATAAGAAGTATTATTTAAATGGTCTTACACCTAACTATGACTGACACTTGCTAATTACAAATCTCAAAAAAAGTCACTTTCTAATCTTATCATTGTTGCCCAAATAATTTTCTGAGGATTTTATCTCCTTGAACATCTCATTCTAGTGCAATACTTAATATTATATTTTTACAGTAGCTACATAAACATCTAAATAGTGGCCCCAAATAGGAAGATGAGCATGCATCTTTTTCACTGGGCTCATGATAAGAGCAACACGTAGAAACTGGAATAAAGCAGAGGACAGTATTTGCACTGGTTGTTCAGCAGTGATTCTGCATGTTTATCACAACAAAAGCATGTGAGTCAAGAGATGTCATCACAGATGTGGTCACACTTCCATAATAAGGAACTAGGTGTTTTCTGTGTCCAGACAAATGGGAGATCTGAATGGCTTTAGCAGTGTCCCAAAGTGACCAACATGATGGGAATTTAGGTGAACAGAATAGATTAATCCTCTTCAGTTGAAAAGCAGATTCAATTTTGGAAGTATGTTTCTTTTAGGATGCTCATTTCTGCATCTTCTCGGCATTTGGAATAAACTCCACTTAGGTACATATGTACCCCTTAACTAGCAAATTCACTTCTATTAATTTAAAATTAAAATTAGGCTTTGGTTGAAGGCCACAGCACAGCTTTAAGGAAATTTCAGCATGGAATAGAGTAGAAACAGGATTTCTGTTTGCAATCAACATTTTACATAGTAATTCATGGTCTCTGATTACAACAAGGGTCACATTTTCCCTACTATATAGACCTCAGAGCACTCAGAAAGATGACATGCATTCAGAAGACAAACAAAACTGCTTTTTAAACTAATGATGATGTTCAGTTGGAAGAATTTGTGAATTTTTTTAAATGAAAATATTTAGACCTCTAATCACCTTGATTCTGAAGCAGTGTCCTGTCTAGTACAACAGGAAAACAAGGAATGGAATTAGCACACACAGAGAGATATGTCCAAATCAGGATTCAGAATAAAAGGCATTCCCGTAAATCATCAATAAGTCATGGTATGGTTACTTCAATAATGAGCCACAATAAATAATTACACTATTTTTTTTTTTACAGAATAAAGAGAAATATAAAACAAAAACTTTACCACAAAGTACTTTATCATCAAAGATTTTATTTTCCTATTGAAAAGTTTTATAAGTAAATAGAAATCATAGCTATCATTTACTTTTTTGACTGTCATTTACTTCTGAGCAATGAATTTCAATAAAATAATTTTTTAAGTATAGGCTTAAAACCTGAGAAGCAATTATAACAAGTAACAAATATGCCTGTGATAATAATACTTAATAAACAGATGTTATAAAAATATACCATATCATCATATAGAATTACCGTTTAACTACTAAACAATGAAATAACATTAAAAAATTAATTCACAGTAAGGTTAAAAAAAATACACCCACTCCCTCTCCTCTATCATTTCAGTTATGTGCAAAAAAACCTACTAACCAACTATTAAAAAGATCTTGGCTCCTTTTTCTCAGCCTGCTTAAAAACAGTAACCTAACATGTTTTCAATAATTCAGGATAGCAGTCCTGGAAAAGGATGCTAAATCTGAATTTAAAATTTCAAATTAATGTGCTTTTAAAAAAAGTAATAGTATTGTTAACCTATCTCCTACCCTATCCTATTTCCCTATTTGACTATGCATGTTTAGAAATCCATTTTATGCAACTGATAAGATATTAGGTACGGCAGTGACAACAAAATTATAACTGACAGTACTATGAACCTTCTCCCCTCAGTGTTCTGAATAGTTCCAGATAGCATGGTAATTATGTATACATGATATTCTCTTTAAAACAAGTGATAATGAGAATGTAGAGTTCAGAAGCCAGTGGGGTTCAGAAACCATGCTCTTGAATATCCTTTTTCTTTGGAAATACACCCTAAAGTTTTAAGAGTAAAGGGACACGATGCATGCAACTTATTCACAAATGGCTTAGGATGAGGAAATATAGACATGTACACATATGTATGTATATATATGTAAATGGACCAAAAGTTATAAAGCAAATGTAGCAAAATATAAAAAGTTGATTAACCTAAATAAAGGGTTAACAGGAATCCTCTGCAATATTTCTGACAACTTTAGTATAAATTATAAGTTATTTCAAAATACAGAAGAAAAAACTCTCCAAGCTTCTAACTAGTAAATTTATGTTGAAGTGACTTACTAGTTGAGATAAACCTATTAAGAGACCATTCTGTCCAACAACTTTACTACTGTGTAGATAATCATCAATAATGCATATGTAGGTACACTTAAAGACATGTACAATAATAGTGACGACAGGACTCTTCAAAGCCAAAAACCTAGAAACAACCCGTATGTCTATTCACAAAAGAATGGGAAAATTGAGATGTATTAAATGGAATACTATATACCAATAAAATGAATGAAATAGATGCTCATTAAAACAGGAATAAATCTCACAAACAAATGTCAGTGAAAGTTGCAAAATAAAAGAATATAGCCTGTATCATTCCATTTGTATAAAGTTCAAAACCAAGCACAGCTAATCTAGGATATCTGAGGTCAGCATGGGGATGGTGATTGGATGGGGAAATGGGAGGAGCCACAGGCATGCTGCTGGCATTCCATTTACTGACTGGGGTGAAGGAAAAACAGTGCCGTTCACTCTGTGATAATCCACTGAGCTGTGTGCTTTTAATTAGTGTCCTTTTCTGGGAAAACAATTTTTTTCAAGTATAATTTTGGCCTATTGATTTTATGCTGTCAAACTTAAAAAGTATAGAGAAGGGTACAAAAAAGTCCTCAAGGATTTTTAGAATTGCATACAACCAAGAAAACATTAAAACATACAGAAAACAATGATTTTTAATGATCTTAGAAATTTTAAAGTTTGCCATATATTTCAATTTAGCACTTCAAACAACACTGCTGCAACAAGGTGAAATTTTTCAACCCGAAACTAACGTGTATTTGCCCTGTGACTTCAATATCCCTCTATTAGAATGAGCTATAGAGGGCTTTGGGAAGCTATTGGCAAAAGTAATACCAACAACTAAGCAGGAACTCCTGAAAGCAAATGAATAACCTTATATTAAACAGTATGAACAATCAGAAGCCACCACTTCTGTGCTTTACATCCTAGTCACAGTTAACCTTTGATCTTCTTAATGGCCTGGTTCGCTCAGGAAGGAAACTGGAATTCCCCACATGCTCACTTTAACCAAAAATAACAATAAGAAAATGCAAATAGGTTTGGTTGAAAGTGTTGTGTTCTTATTAGTAGGCAAGATTACAGAGATAAGGCAATTGATATCTTTATGTATATTCCTGGTTTTCTAAATTCATATTCTATATATCTTACACTAGTTTTGTGGTTATCGCCTTTAAAATTTCCTAAGATTGTTCTTGAAAGCACTCTACAGTAAATTGTTCATATACTTTCTTCACAATAAATCAAATTCAATGTTTGAACATGACTTTGCACTAATTCAGAGGAAAGTTCAAGATCAAAATTATATTAATCCAGTATTGGTTATCTCTCTTAAAGTGAAAAAAAGGCATACATGGACAAAAGACACTCAGAGATAATTTAAGAATTAGTCGAATTTAACTAGTGAGTGAGTGCTACCTAGTTATCTGTTAACTTTTAGCATTTCTTGTGTCTAAGATAAATAGGCCAAAAGAATATCCAAGAAGATGTTAATGGCACACAGGCTAGTGGATGACATGTATTCCTCTAATGACTACAAAAATTGCCAATTATTAAACAACAAAAAACAACCCAAATATCCATCAGCAAGAGAGTGAATAAACTGCAATGTATGAAATGGAACACTATACAGCAATAAAAATGAAAAAGTCAAGTTATATACAGAAGCAGGAATGAACCTCACAAACATCTACTCCACCAACAAATTTAGAAAGGTTCCCAACTAAGCCCACTACTTTCTAGAGGCTGCAGCACTCCACTAAGAATTTGAGTGATCAATATTATTGCATGTATAATTTCAATTGTTTTAAAAAGTGATTCTCCAAAAATCACTACATCTAATTTTGTGTTACTAAAAGAACAAGCAGTAAGATTTAACAGGCTATACCTTTTCCATACCAGGGATAAAAACAAAACAAAATAGAATGTTCGCAAGATTTAAGAGATCCCTCATAGATCCCGTATCCTATCTGAGAGTTGCTATCAATATGATCTTGAAACCGCTGTGTGATTTATATTGAGATTCAGAAAAGTCTGTCATTGAAAACTCAAAGAAATGCCTAGGAAATATTCTATATACTTAAAAATAAAGATATTATTGTATCTATCAGTTTAGTACAATTGTTTTCAATCAGTGCCTTTTGAATTCCATTAAATATGTCTAGAAAGGCCAAGAAAATGAAAGGCATGATTAGGGAAGCTTTGCTTAGCATATGTCAGCATCGGCGTGCTAACAATACAAAGCTTAAACTTTGGAGTTTGAGAAAAAGAAACACGCAAATAATACAAAAAAACATAATTCAAAAGATAATCATGTCATCAAAAAGCTTTAAAACTACTGGTTGAAAAAGTTTTCTTAATAAAATTAATTGGAAATGAAACCAATATATTAGAAACAGATTAGAACAAGCACAACACGGGGATGCATAAATGTCACTCCAAAATTAATCAACCACTTTTTAGTAACATATTAGCATATCACTGCAGAAAATTTCGCTTTGCAAACAGAGGACACTGATCTCACCTGATTTCATTTTCATACTGTGGGGACAGTCTACCTGAATTCTGGTAAAAGCTTTTCAGGAAAGAGGGGGCAGTGAAGGAAGGGGCAGAGAAGGAAGTGTGAAGACTTGGAAGACTGGAGGAAGAATTACTCTCCTTGTGCATGCGTCGAACTGATGAAAGAGTGCTGAGTACAGAAAATACAGCAAATTTGTCTTAATTTATATTTTGGCAAAATCTTCATTCACTATGAAAAAGCATATAAACAGGTTCTTGCTATTGATTTAATCTTTCCTAAGGCTCAGTGCTGGATCTTACATTAAAAAAAAAAAAAAGCATGCAGTTTTCTATTTAGATAACTATGATCTAATTTCATTCTCTCATAATTCGAATTCCTTATCTGCACAGTATTTCTCAGCATCTGTGTTTGTCTCTAAAAAATTCTTAACAAGTTGAGGACAGAAAGTATTTGTTTTCACATGCAAAAGATACTTCAAGGGGAAAAAGTAGGAAAGCACAAATAATTACAGGAAACAAGTTCCAGAAGGAAAGACTGATTATCACTAGTTCAAAGACTTTGACTATTTTAAAGATATAAACGCTTCTAAATACTTAAGAACAACATGTTTGGTTGTTAGAAGTTATCATAATGCCTTTGGCTTAACAAACATTGATGTCCGTGTTCTTTCCTGAAGACAGTGGAATTGTGCCACTATGGTTGAATTGAAAGTCCAAAATCTAGAAAATTCTTTCCATAGCAAGTTTTCACAATGACACAGAGAGCAGCTTTTTATAGTGACAGAAATTGTTTGAACTGACACATTATAAAATGTGGAAAACAGAGGGAAGAATTAAGGTATTTATCGTCTAAAATGATTGATGTCTTTCATTCTTGAAAATATTTTTTCCTAGGGAAAAAAGAGTTCTATTGTCTTGAGTAAATATAAAGGAAGTGATCATTTAAATATCTTGATATACATATGAACATTTAATATCCTTTACACACACACACACCAAAAAAAAAATCTGAGAATAACGAATTCTGTTAATTTTATTTTTGTATCGTAAAATATCTCATTTTTAAATTCTGAAACATTCAGAAAACAACAATGAAAACAAAACCTTAAAAGAAATGCTGGCAAATTTGATAACACCTGATATAAAAATTAG